TGGATGATGGATGGATGGATGGATGATGGATGAACGGATGGATGGATGGATGGATGGATGGATGGATGGATGATGGATGGATGGATGGATGGATGGATGGTTGGATGATGGATGGATGATGGATGATGGATGAATGGATGGATGGATGGATGGATGGATGATGGATGGATGGATGGATGGATGGATGGTTGGATGATGGATGGATGGATGGATGGATGGATGATGGATGGATGATGGATGGATGGATGGTTGGATGATGGATGGATGGATTGTGTCAGACAAAGTGACCCATTATTAGCATGTTTAGCTGTAGAAAAAATACCTGAAACTTGAAACTTTATGACTTTCCTTAAATTGACTCCATCATTAGAAAAAGTGATATGTTGTTTCTGTTTCCTTGGAGCTGTACACCACTTGGCACAAGGGTTGTCTTATGGGCCCGGGAATTATAAAACCATTTAAACAGCAAAAAAAAGTTCAAAGGTCACACAGAAACTCTCTCATAGATATACATGCATTAAATAAACTGGATTTATGTACGAATTGAACTTGTATTTGACCTGCACCAGTGTAGCCTTGTTTGTCACCTTCTTCACTAGCATGACAGAATAAATCACTCTTCTCAATGTGACTTCGAACTGCATGCAATCTCGAGTTATAGACAGCTGACAAATGGAAGAAGACTCAGTTGGTATCGTGACTGACTGGTCAGCCACCAACACCAACTGGTGCAGTTCCCACTCAGAGGGTCGTATATTTCCAGCTCAGCCACATGAAGCTGAAGTTGTTTTCCACTCCACTTCATTTTTCACTGCCTTCCGCATCTTTAATCGACTCTCGTTTAAAAAATACAACACTTAGATCCTTCAAACCTGAACTGGATTCTTCTGCTTTAGTACAGAATATTTTAATCCATCTTTAGGATTTGTGAAACTTTTTTCTGATTTGTGAAACTTCACTTATCAAATTGCTGCAGAAGATTTTTTCTTCCAACAACCATCACCATCTACAATAAAACTTGGAAGAATTAATGAGTTACACCAACATTTATTTTCCCTTTGGGCTAATAAAGTGGTTTTGAACTAGAATTGATTTTAAATTAGAAAAAAAACTACATGGAACAAGTGTGAATAGTAATCTAAACGTTAGCGAAGTTTCACAAAAGATAGGAAGGTGGTGAATAATCAAGCTGGAATCGGAAACCAACTTCAGCTTCGTCAAAACCACGAGAAACTTTACAAATACTGTCAGAGCCAAATGACTGAAGTAAGCAATTAGTGGCAGCAGCACACAGCTTTGACACGAGGGTGGTGGGCGTGTCGAGGTGGGCGTGGCTGTCACTAAGGTGTGATGGGAGCCAGGGTTAGGGTAAGCGCGCTGGCTTGGTATTTCTGTTGACCGTGTTGTAATGTTGCTTTATTGTTGGCACCATTGTATGGTTTAGCCTGGTCAGCATGTGTCAGTCCTGTAAAGTCTGAAGTTATGGCAGTAAAGTGGAATAAATCGATGATTGCAGCAATAAAGGAGTGTTGAAGCGTCTGACAGTTTGAAATTCACCGATTCAACCCAGTGCGGCCCTCTGCACCACCGGTAGTCTGCTGCACAATTCAATTATATTTGTAGATCTTAGATGTTCTTACAATATTTCGCTCATTCTAGAAAAATGTGACCCTAAGTAAGTGACCTCCAGCTTTCCTCAGAATCCTGGCGGGAAGCCTGCAGTTACTCATCACACCACTAGGTGGCTCTAAACATATGCATCAATTAAAAATCTCACCACAAATACATATTACTATTATTATTATTATTATTATTTCAGGAAAAATTCAATCATCTTATCAATATATTCGTACACACATCTTCCTCTGTGTTACACCTGCAGCTAACCCTCACATCACAAAACTCCCAAACACAAAAAGCAATCAAGGTTATATTTAGGTGCCCTAAATCAAAGTACCACCAGTTGATTCCTTGCTGAAGCCGTGAGTAAATGTTTCACTGTCCAACAGGTCGTAGGTTTTACGTTCACACGTACTGTCCGACACAATCTTATACAATTTTGCAAGACGTTAAACGTAAGATTTTGAACATCTTAATCTGCAAGATGAACATAAATCCTGCACAAATAATTTTGCAGGATACAAAATATAAGATTTTGAACATTATATGGTGAACATCTTATGTTGAAGATGTTCTTATGTCAAACATCTTCAACATGTCATGGTGAAGGATGTTGCATGAGAGAAGTATTCTCATAATTGACGTCCGAAACAGTATGAAAGAATTAACTGTTGACCTCCAGGTTAGATTCTCCAGATCATCACCTTCCTGTCGGATAAAGTGATTCAAACAGTTTTTGCATTTCATAGATTCGGGTTTTAAAGTTACAGATTCTCTAAAAGTTGGATGGTTTTGTTTAGGACAAGTTATATTTGGTCATAAGATTTTAATTTTTACAACTTTCAAGACAGATTTCCCACTTCAGGATGCGAAGTGACGAGTTTCTAGAAAGATTTATCTTTATGATTTATGAAGTTACATTAAATATATCATGAAATGCAGCGTTGCTGCTTTTTGTTGCTAAGCAACGGGTAACGCTGTGTGTTGACGTGGTAACGTGCCGTGTGAAGTAACAGTGAATTGGTGATTTGATTTCCGGTTAGTTTTACAAAATAAAAGCACTGGTAGAATACTTGGAAAGATCAAGTTTTTCAATCTTTGACGTATTTAAAGCATCTTTGAGTCCAAATCATCTTTGTTACATTTATTTACAGAATATTTTAAAATTAGACTCACTGTTATGAACTGGCTTTTAGTCCATGTTGATCCAAATAATTATAGCTCTTTAACTGATCCTGTTGACTTATTGCCTATTTAAGCACTATGCTATATTTAACTGTACTACAGATTTATTATTAATATTATGATAATCATTTACTTTCTCTCTTCTTCTGCTTTTCTGTTTTATACCCACTATGAATCATAAGCTTTTAATGCAGTTTGACTTGATATTTATTCTTAACTTGTCAAGTTAAATGAAAACAGTGTGAGTCGTTTTAAATGTGCTAAGTAAATTCCAATGACATTAATGACGTCAGAGAAGGAGGGAACGGCCCACTTTAGGATCAGTGAACCCTACAGAACCGGTCCTCTGCCCATCTGGAGCGGTTCTGGAGTACAGAGTGACATTCTGTCTGGAGTTCACGCTCACTTAGAGCTCTATAAAAAAATAATACCAAGAAGAAACAACTAGAATAATTTGTTTTCTGTAACAATAATTTGTTACAGAAATTAACAAATTAGTGTTCAAAGAATGCTTTTCTCTAGATTAATAAACTGAAGTAATTAACCGACACTAAGTAACGCAGGATATTTTTATTTTTAAATCATAAAATTCCCCAGAAACACATCGTGGTTTGACAGGAAGTTTATTTTGAAAGGTTTGTGACGCGTTTCCGCTGAATGCTGCCAGCTTTGCGTGCTGACCTTCTGGATCAGTTTAACGGATCCAGGTTGAATCAAAGTTCCGAGATTTTCACGCAAACGCAGTCCAGAACCGCAGGGCTGCTCACTCGCACCAGAACCGGACCAGAATTACTTCTACGTAGCAGAACCGGCCCGTGTTCCGGTCCCAAAGCCCGGGGAGGTTGAGGTCTTCTCGCCGCCGATGCTAGCGTCTGTTTAACCGTCCAGCCGTTGGTTCCGTTGGTCCAAACATGGAGAGGAATGTCAGCCTGTTCGAGCTGCTCAACCTGTCCATCGGTTCCCCTCACAAAAGTTCGGTGGACTTCAGCGCCCTCCACGCGCTGCTGCTGGAGATGCTGAAGCTGCTGGACCTGCGGGAGGCGACGACCCGCTTTAAGGTCAGCCCTCCCAGGGACCAAGTGGCCGACGCCCCGCCGGGGGCTCCGGGGGAGGTTCTGACCCACCCCACCGTGTCGGACCAGCTGGTTCCGCCCGGTTCCGACCTACACAAACTGACAGACTCGGTCTCTGTTCTGGATGGAACCGGAGGGGACGACTTCCGAACCTCCGGGGACGGAGTGTCACAGGTGAGGAGAACCCGTCCAGGTGAAGCCAGGAGTGATAATAAGTATGATAATAATAATGATGATGATTATAATAATAATAATAATAATAATAATAATGAAAATAATAATGATAATAATAATGATGAAAATAATGATAATAATAATGATGATGATGATTATAATAATAATAATAATAATGATGAAAATAATAATGATAATAATAATGATAAAAATAATAATGATAATAATAATGATTAAAATAATAATGATAATAATAATGATGAAAATAATAATGATAATAATAATGATAATAATGATAATAAGAATGATAATAATAATGATGATGATTATAATAATAATAATAATGATGATGATGATGATTATAATAATAATAATAATAATGATGAAAATAATAATGATAATAATAATGATGAAAATAATAATGATAATAATAATGATAATAATAATGATGATAATAATGATAATAATAATGATGAAAATAATAATAATGATGATAATAATAGTTATTATTATTATTATTGTGTGGATATTAGTTGAAAGTTTACTTTAGTAAAGTTTACTTTTCCACAGCACTGTAGTTGCCATGGTAACGCAGGACGGCCCTCAATGATGTGTCACATCATAATTATTCCCCAGGAAAACGGACGAAGTGTTCCGTGGAGCTCCAGGGGTCAAAGGTCATATTTCTAATGAAGGTCGATGGTGGAGCTGCTTGATTCTGTTCAAGTTCTGCTTACTGGACCAGAACCGGAGCCGGTCTGTTTAGGTGATCTCAGATCCCGGTCCGTCTAGCCACCAGCGGCGGACCGGAACCAGCTGACCCGCCGGGCCCACCCGCCGGGTGACTCGCAGGTTAATGAGTGACGGACCTCTGGAGCCCCGAGCTAACACCAGAACCGGACCGGCTGAATGTTCATCATTTTAAATGAGACATGATTAGACTATCTGGTCTATCAGAACCATCAGCAAGGTCCAGATTGACCCGGTTCTCTGTGTCCCTGCAGGCCTTGAATCTCATCGAGGAGCTGCAGAAGAACAGAGACGAGATGAAGCAAAAGACGGAGCACCTGCAGTCCAAGGTGTGTTCATGTGTTCATTTCAAACATGTTTTGTAGAAACAAATAAGAGGAGAAACAAACATTCATAACTACAACAGATTAATGAGCTTTATGGACATTTATTTTATACCTTTAATTCAATATGATGAAATTTGAGTCTCTGAATTAATCAGAAATGAGTCATTAAAACATTCATGAACCTGTTCAATTCACTGCTAAAGAACCAACAATAAACTATTTTACATCAAAACAAAATACAAAATGACTCATAGCAGGACAAGCAAATTTACCGTCTAAAGATGATGATAATAATAATGACCCTTGTCAGTAACATACAGCATCGGAGTAATGACCAACAACCAGTTGTTTTTCCCAGTACCGCCATCATGGCTGCTGGTTCAAGTTGAGCTAATCAGTCTGAGGAAGTGGTATCTACAGACGGTGAGCTCAATGTGTATGTACACAGCAGTAGCTGTGTACATACACATTTTTATTTGTTACTGAGTTGTTTGAAGTAAAATTAGATATATTTAGATGTAATTTAGCTAGTTTGGCAGTAAGTACTACAGAAAATCTGACTGATATGTGTCTTAGTATTACACAGGGGTGGGTAGAAGGCTCATTTCCCACCTGATGCTGTCTCTGTCCTCCTCTTTGGAGTTTGTTTCACTTCACCACTCCAGCTATAGCCTGGTTGATGCATCTCTGCAGGTCTTGGCTCTTATGATGAGGGAGCTTGGACGAACTCTACACTGGTCCACACTTACTAATGCTTGTAGGAGAACACTACAGGCCCTTCCTGTGGCTCCTGTTTGTCTCTGGACGCCTTGGATCATACAGCTCCAACCTCTCAAACAAGGCAGAAACTATCAGGGCTTCACAGATGTGATCACCAACCAGTTGGCACTTGGGCGGCTGCTGGTTCCTCACGGAAGTCCCCACTTCCTTCTACTTCGTTCATTGACTCCCAGGGTCCAGTTCCAGGTCAGAGATCAGTCCAGAGACCTGCTCCAAGTCATGCAGATTGGGCTGGTGTCCAAACTTCATTCCCCTTTCGGGCTGCACAATCTGGCTGGTGTCCCCACAGGCATTCAAAAGGCCAAGGGGCCTGCAGAGTATATTTCAGTCAATTATTTTACCCGGACAGCTCGGTGGCTGGGTTGCCCAGACTCTGGCCTCGTGAGTGCTGTCCACCATGTCCCAGGGGTACCGTCTTTAATTGTGATGCTAGTCCCCTGTCCCCGACCAGGTCAGGATGATGACCATCCACGACCTGATGAAGGCACTGCAACAGGAAATCTGCAGCTTGGTGGCAGAGGGTGCTATAATGTCTGTAGTATATTAAGTGGATCTATTTACTTCAGCGGAACCACTCTGAGTTTACCTGGAGGTTATCCGCCAGTGCATTGATATGTAACATTGAGACTGAAGTGAAGATCAGTAAAGTCACGTTCATTTGTACCTCTGAGTTGAATCCTTTATTTAATTATACTATGTTGGAGTAAAGACACAAAAAGTTGGCGACGAGTAATCTGGACCCTAAACAACTGCATGAAATGAAAATTTAATCCGGAGGGACGGAGAAAAGGACGAAATAAAGCTGGAGACAAAACGAAACCTAGCAAAGCATCCGTGAGTAACAGTGCATAGCACACAGGGAAAGGACAAACGGACAATATCTGGATTTCATGTCCAAAATGGCTTACATTGGAAAAGTAGAGGAATATGATAGCTGAACTGGAGACTGGGAATCATACATAGAGCGAACGTGGAGTTGTACTGCAACGCTAATGATATCAAGGATGAGAAAAAAAGTCCCTCCTCCTCAGTCTAATGGGAGCTAAAACTTGAAGTCTACTCTGTAACCTTTTGAACCCTGCCAAACCGTTGAGCAAGTCATATAAAGACATTGCTGATACGTTGCAGAAGCACTTGAATCCCGCACCACTAGTCATAGCGGAAAGATGAAAGCATTTCTGAGTATATGGCCGAACTGCGCAAACTCTTGCAGTCACTCTGTGACTTTAAAACGCGACTTGATGATGCCTTGAGAGATCGACTGGTATGTGGCATGCACTGTACAAGCACACAAAAAGGCTACTGTCCAAAAAAGAGCAAGATTTGAAGAAAGCACTCGAACTAGCTATCTCAATGGAAACAGCAGCTAGGGGTGCATCAGAGCTACAGAAGAAAAGCTTAGAAAACAAAGTGCATCAAATGTCTTTGAATGGAAAAAAGCAAAAATGCTACAGGTGCTACACAATGCAAACGACTGCTGGTTCAAAGAAAAGACATGCAGGAAATGCCACAAACAAGGCCACATAGAAAGAGCATGCCAATCAGACCAAACAAATACTCAAAAAGGAAAATCTGAAAAGAACAAAGGTTTTACAACTAAATCAAAGGCCAAAGCAAATGAAATGCACAAAGTTACAGAACATTCTGACAACACAAACAGCAGTGAAGACGATGACCTGTCATGTGCTTAGAGCTGCATAGCATAACCAAAGAATACAGAAAAATAATATGGGTCATGACTACAGAGTCTGGAGTGAAACTAAAGATGGAACTGGACACAGGTTCAGCTTTGTCAGTGATCTCTGAAACCGATTATGACAGGCTGTTCTCCCACTTACCACTGAAAAACACATCAGTGATGTTAAAAACCTACACAGGTGAAAAAGTGTCACCAAAAGGTAAACTTAAAGTGAATGTGGTCTATGGTGACCAAACACACAAGCTAGAGCTCTATGTTCTGAAAACCACAGGCCCAGCTCTACTGGGGCGTGAATGGCTGAGAAGAATTCAGCTTGACTGGCATGCAATAAAAGCCCTGAATATCTCAACAGGCCTCAAGAGCTCCACCCGGAGGCCTGAGCAGAGATTGCCACAGTTATTGGAGGCTAATGCACACGTGTTCGAGAAAGGCATTGGTAAACTAAAACACATAAAAGCAAAAATTGAACTTGACAAAGATGCCAACCCACGATTCCACAAGGCGCGCCCGGTGACGTATGCCCTACGTCCCAAGATAGACGCCGAACTACAAAGCTTGGAGGCATCCGGCATTCTCTCAAAAGTTGACTGGAGTGACTGGGCTACACCCATTGTCCCGGTAATGAAGAAAGGAAAAAGTGAAGTGCGTATATGTGGGGACTTCAAAGTGAGCATCAACCCGGTGCTGCGCACGGTGCAGAACCCCCTGCCACAAATAGAGGACATCTTCTCATCATTGGCTGGTAGGGAGAAGTTTTCAAAGATTGATTTGTCACAAGCCTATCTCCAGATGGAAGTGGAGGAGTCAAGCAAAAAGCTCCTAACCATCAACACTCATAAGGGACTTTACCAATACAATCGTCTTGTGTTTGGTGTTGCTTCAGCCCCAGCCATCTGGCAAAGAGCCATGGATCAGGTGCTCCAGGACATACCTGGAACACAATGCTATGTGGATGATATTATTATAAGAGGAAAAGATGATGGTGATCACTTCCAAAACCTGAGCAAAATACTCACCAGGCTGGATGAGTATGGCCTACGGGCAAAGAGAGAGAAATGTGAGTTTTTCAAAAGTGAAATCTCATACTGCGGACATGTCATTGACAAGCACAGCTTGCACACGTCACAAGAGAAAATTGAAGCAGTGCTGAAAGCACCTAAGCCTGAAAATGTGTACCTGGGTCTTGTCAACTATTACCACAAGTTTCTACCAAACCTTGCCTCAGTGCTGTATCCACTAAATGCACTGCTACAGACAGGAGTGGAATGGCATTGGTCAGAAAAACGTGAAAAGGCATTCACAGAAACAAAAAGACTAATTACATCTGACGAGCTACTTACCCACTACGATCCATCCAGACCTACGATCCACCGGATGCGGAGACGCGTCCGGTGACGCGTATTCCGTACAGCATTGGCGCAGTCCTGTCGCACACAATGGATAATGGACTTGAACGCCCAATTGCATTCGCGTCAAGGTCCCTGTTAGTACCGGCAATTATGCACAGATAGACAGAGAGGCTCTTAGCCTAGTATGGAGTATCAAAAAGTTCCATCATTACCTCCATGGCCTATGGTTTACCTTACTGATGGATAATCAGCCCCAAGTGTCAATATTCAATCCACGAAAAGGAGTTCCAGTGATGTCAGCTGTGCGACTACAGTGATGGGCCCTGTTCTTAGGAGCACACTCGTATGACATCACAGTACAAGGCTGGCCTGCCCATGGGAATCCATGCTTTCCTGAGTTTTCAGCAAGACGTGATCAGCTGTCAGTCTGCCAGGGAACCTTAATGTGTGGATCACGTGTGGTAGTGCCCTCCAAGCTTCGCATCAGAGTGTTGAACAGCCTGCATGAGGGTCATGTAGGTACGGTGAAGATGAAAAGTCTGGCCCGTAGCTATGTATGGTGGCCAGGATAGATAAACAGATTGAGGACATCACCAAAACCTGCCCAGGATGCCTGAGCGTTCAAAATGCAACACCCTCACTTCACACATCCATCAGGCTCCTCCAGTGATTCAGTGACAAAGCTGCAAAAGGTCAGTGGCATACTTCCATAACCTTAGTTTCATCATAAACAAATAAAACAAGGTGGGTGAGAACCTGTGTCAGAATCGGGATTAGAACCTCCCTGTTTGGACCGCAGTTGAGCCGAGTGTTTGTTCTGCAAATAAACCCTCTGCCCTTGCAGGAAATCAAAGCCGTTCTGTTGAAGTGGACTGGTGTCTGATCCGGTTAGACCCAGTTTATCAGAACCATCAAGAAGGACCAGATTGACCTGACGGCTCATGTTCTCCCTGCAGGCCTCGATCATCATTGAAGACCTGCAGAGGAACAGCGCAAACCTGAGGCAGAAGGCAGAGGAGCTGCAGCACAAGGTGAGTCAGAACCGGCTAGAAGCTACCAGAACCAGGGTTAGAACCAACCCACACTCTGTTGATATAGAAACGGTGTCTGAACTGGTTGATCAGCACTATCAGGAAGGTCCAGATTAACCAGAGGGTTCATGTTCTCCTGCAGGCCTTGAAGGTCATTGAGCAGCTGGAGGACAGCAAAGATCTGAAGGAGACTGATGACATGCAGCACAAGGTGAGTCAGCAGTAAGAACCTGAGTCAGAACCAGTCTAATTTGATTTGCTTTGACATTAAATTGTTGAACAATATTCTGTCAAACATGGATACATTTACTGGTTTCAACCAGCTTAAACCAGTAAAACCAGTGGCTGCAGTTTTTTTCATTCCTGTTTATATGAATAAAAATCCAAAATATAATGATTATTCCCAGTCCTCCTTCTGTGTTCAGGGGGTAGCGGAGCAGATGGAGATCCAGGCAGGACTGGAGACGTGCTGCCAACGTCTGGACGTCCTGGACAAGGCAGTGGTGAGTCTGTAGGGCTGCACTCTGTCACGCCCCCACCGGTAGGCAATGACAAAAATGGGAGACAGACGAGCGAAAACATGAAGAACAATCATTTAATCTGTTCAAAACATGATCCAGAGAACTACACAGCCAGTCAGAGAGAAGCGTGGACTAATGCTGCTCGCTCCGGTCTGGTCCGGAGGCCAATCAAGCAGGCCGGTAACTGACTAAATGTCAGTATTTAACAGCCTACTGTTGCGTTCAATTAGCAGCTAATCTTCTGCTTCCTGAAAAGAACAAAAGAATAAACTAATTGTAGATTGGAGACATCTGCTGGACAGGAGGGGATCGTCACAACTCTCACCTGTGAAGGTGCTCTAGACAAAACTTCTGCAGATGGTCTCTGTTTCTGATTTCTACTGGAATCTGGAGGCTATGGTTGCTGAGCTGAGCAGAAACGGAACCATGAACTGGACCCGAAGGAGGTCCGAACTGCTCTCATTCTGCGTTATGGTTCCAACAGGAATCCATCCAGGAACTCTTCCAGATGTATCCAGACCCAGAGGAGCTCAGCGAGTGTGTGACCTGGGTCCAATTGGTTCAGAAGGACATGGAGGTTGAGAAGGTAAGGAGAAGAACCACAGAGTGGAACCAGTTCAGTGAACTGTTCGTCCCAAAGGCATCCATATTCAGAATATCTGAAAACAACAATTTCTGGCAGTCCTGATGACAGATCTGGGAATTAGTCAGGAAGCGATGCACACTTATTGGTTCCATCAGTGGAAGTTACCCTCAGATCTGTGTTTCTGCAGGACCTGGAGACTTCAGAGGTTCTGGACCAGCCCTGGTTGGTAGAACAGACTGGACCTGACCCCTCAGCACTGTCCTCTGGTGTCCCAGTCCCATCAACTGGTGGACCGGTGCTATACTCCGGTGCCGCTGCGCCAACCTCCGATGCCGCTGCACCGACTTCCGGTGCCTCTGCACCAACCTCAGGTGTTGTTGCGCCGACCTCTGGTGCTGCTTTGCCGACCTCCGATGCCGGTGCGCCGACATCCGGTGCCAGTGCGCCGACATCCGGTGCCGGTGCGCCGACCTCTGGTGCCGGTGCGCCGACCTCTGGTGCTGCTTTGCCGACCTCCGATGCCGGTGCGCCAACCTCCAGTGCCGGTGCGCCGACCTCTGGTGCCGGTGCGCCGACCTCTGGTGCCGGTGTGCCGACCTCTGGTGCCGGTGCGCCGACCTCTGGTGCCGGTGTGCCGACCTCTGGTGCCGGTGCGCCAACCTCTGGTGCGCCAACCTCTGGTGCGCCGACCTCTGGTGCGCCAACCTCTGGTGCGCCAACCTCTGGTGCGCCGACCTCTGGTGCGCCGACCTCTGGTGCGCCGACCTCTGGTGCGCCGACCTCTGGTGCACCGACATCCGGTGCTACTGTACCAACCTCTGGTGCGCCAACATCTGGTGCGCCGCCCTCTGGTGCGCCAACATCTGGTGCGCCGCCCTCTGGTGCGCCGACCCCCGGCGTGCCAACCTCTGGTGTTCCAACCTTGGGTACCAGTGCGCCAACTCCCGGTGCCGGTGCGCCAACTCCCGGTGCCGGTGCGCCGAGTGCCAGTGCGCCAACTCCCGGTGCGCCGAAATCCGGTGCCGGTGCGCCGAGCCCCGGTGCCGGTGCGCCGACCCCCAGTGCGCCGAAATCCGGTGCGCCGACCTCGGGTGCGCCGACCTCCGGTGCGCCGACCTCTGGTGCCAGTGCGCCATCCCCCAGTGCGCCGACCTCTGGTGCGCCAACCCCCAGTGCGCCGACCTCGGGTGCGCCGAAATCCGGTGCGCCAAAATCCAGTGCGCCGACCTCCGGTGTACCAGTTCCATCCCCAGGTGCCTCAGCCCCATCCTCCCATCGCTTAGCGCCATCTTCTGGTGCCTCTGCAACATTCGCCGGTACAACTGGGCTGTCACCCAGTGCCTCTGCACCACCTTCTGGTTCCTCTTCACCGGCCTCTGCTGTCTCAATGCCGTCGTCTGGTGGTCCCCTCCACCCAGAAAGCTCCCCCACGTCTGGTGCTCCGTCTTTTCCAAGCATCTCTGCCGAGGATCAGTCCTCGGAAGCAGCAGCAGACTCCACTCAAGCCTCCTCTGATGGGTCTGAAGGCGGGACAATCGCTGGGGACCAGCGCAGGGCCACAGAACCACAACCTGTGAGCTCAGCTGTCCTTCCAGAGTCCACCGCAAAACTGTACCACAACCTGGAGTACAACGTGCTAGGGTGGCTTCCAGCATCTCTCCTGGAGTGCTTCGTGGAGATCTAAAGAGACCCTCTGAATCTTCTGCGAGTCGGCTCCACAGCCAGCAGATGGAGGAGTTTGTGAAGAACATCAGAAAGTTACAAGACAGGGTCACCCAGCTAGAGGCCCAGACAAGGATTCTGGAGGAGGAGAAGGTGGACTGGACCGGGCTGGACCAGTTTCTCAGCTCCAGAGATAATGTCAGAGGTTAGCCGAACATCTCCAGGTCGTACCTGGTCAGGTATTTCACTAGGCACCCTGCCCAGGTGACCAGGTGTTTTCTCCTCAGGTTCTCTTGAAGTCCCTGACAGCACGTCGGATCAGGAGCAGCAGCAGCAAGCTCTGATGGAGAACCTGAAGACTGAACACAAGAAGGTGAGAACCTGCTGCTCCACTCAGCCTCCCATCACTCTGTTCCGGGTCTGGTTGCGGTTCTGGCTCCAGTTCTGGTTCTGGTTCTGACGGATGACATGTCTTCTGAAGCTGGAGCATCTGGAGGACATGTTGGGCAGCCTCATGAGCCAGGAGACGGGCAGCAGCCCAGCAGGAGCGGCAGATCAACCTGATCCAGGGATTAAAGATCTCACTCAGCAGGTTTCTGACCTCAGGTAGAGATAGAGAGGCAGGGCAGAACCTGAAACCTATCCCACCAGGTAGACCAGGTGGTCTTCAGGTAGACCAGATGTTGGTCAAGTGGGCTGCTCTCCTGTGCAGGTCTTCCCTGGTCCAGGTGGAGCAGGAGGTGGAGCTCCTGAAGGAAAAGCAGGCTCAGAGTGAGGAGAGAGCTGCAGACCATCTGCAGGACCAGGTCAGAGGAGAACCTCCTTCCTACCATCCTGCACCCTTCCTCCAGTCTAACCTCTCCCCTTTGCCCTCAGCTGAATGACCTGCGGGGGACGTTGGAGGACACCATTGTGTCTCTGACCTCCCAGCTGTCCAGCAGCCTCCAGCAGGAGGTGGAGCAGGAGACGGAGGAGGCGGAAGAGGAGGAGGAGGAGGAAGAATTCGACAGCTCGGTGGAGGTGGGCCGGAAGCTCAGCCTGCTGTTCCAGAACTATGAGCAGTTGGAAGACACGGTCAACCTGCTGGTCCAGCAGCAGCAGCAGGGCGCAGCTAGGGTCGGCCTGGACGACGACCGAGAAATGGGCAGGGTCAGTCAGGGACAGGGACAGGGACAGTGGCGTGTATGCCACAGGGACGCGGCTGGACTTTATGGACTCTCTGTGTCTGTGTGTGGGTCAGAGCCTGGACCTGGTGTATGACGTCCAGAGGGCCATCCAGGAACTGCAGGCCGAGTGCGAGCGCCTGCAGGAGGCAACCAGGAGCCTGCATGAGGACAACCAGCAGAAGCAGGGACACATCGAGGTAGGCAGGCCATCACCTGGGTACTGACAGACGCTGGACCACGGTGGACTGACGCCTTACTGACTCACGGTCCACATGGAAACACTCAGTGATGCGGCTGCTTCCACAGGAGCTCTACAAGACGGCAGAGGAGCTGCAGGTGAAAAAGGCCGACAAGCTGATGGTGGAGAGCGAGATTGTGAGTTCTGGTTCTGGTTACCTTCGATCTTTAGTTCCAGTGGAGATGCTGTGAGCTGCATCAGGTTTACTGTCCCCTCGTCTGTCCCCTCAGAAAGCGGACAAGTTGGCCCTGGACAGCAAGGTGAGCCGTCTTCAGTTCGACGCGGCGACGGAGCAGCTGACCAGTTCCATGAGCTGCTCAACAAGATGACGGGTCAGGAGCACGACTGGCACCAGCTGGTGGACAAGCTGTCCACCGACATGGAGTGCAAGGTACCGGTCCTCGCTAGAAACCCGGCCCGGTTCTGGTCTGGTGCGGAGGTTCTGATCCGTGTGTGTGCAGCTGAACCGAATTGAGTTGGACTCGGTGAAGCTACAGCTGGAGGAACGCTGGCGCAGCATCCTGAAGAAGCTGCAGACGCAGAGCGCGCCGCTGGAGGACGACGCCGCCGGCATCAGGAAGTGAGTCCGGCCGGTTCCGGTCCAGGTCCGAAGTTCCGTTCATTATGGAACGGTACGATTTGAGCCGACTGTCTGTCTCCCAGGAAGCTGCTGGAGCGGTTCCAGTGCCTGTCCTGTGACCGCGTCATCATGAAGCAGACCCCCGGCCCGTGAGTCGACCCGGAAAGCCCGGTTCTGTTGTCGTGGCATCCTGTCCCTTTAATGTGACATCACAGATCTGTCTCCTTCCCCAGCATTGTGCCGACGCTGCCGACTTTCCCACCTTTCCCCCCGCCGAAGTTCACCCGGCCCTGGACCATAGATCATATCCGCCAGCACTACCGCAGGTGGGTCCGGGACCAGAACCAGAACCAGTCCCACATTCTGTCCCAGCAATAGTTTTCTATCAAGATTGATCTGAAAAGTGCGGCATGCATGTCGGTCTGGCCGACTCCACCACACTTTTCAGATTTTTCTCACTGAATCGTTCAGTCGGTTCTGACCCGGTTTGGGTCGATCTCAATGTCAGAGAAAATGTGAGGTTAGTTTATGGAGGAGGACAGAATAAACAGCAGGTTCTGATGCATTGGACCTTCAGAACCAGCTGTGTGTTGTGATTCCAGTGTGACGCCCGGAACCAGCCAGCGCCGGGTCCAGCTGCAGAAGAACCACGCCGACATGGTGCGGCAGCTAGACAGCATCGAGCGCCAGCGACGCCTCCGCCAGCGGTGAGTCAGGCTGCCGGTTCCGACCCGGTCCATTCCAGGATCCACAGCAGAACCTGCGGTCGGGACCAGCTCTAACCTCCTCCCGGTCTCTGTGCAGCCCCAACCGGGTCGCTGAGTCGCCATCCCGACCAGTAGGAGTACCGCACACCAGCACGTCTGCGGGTCAGCGCCGCAGCAACCTGCAGCACCACCGAATGATGCACCGGGCCGTGGACGAGGACCTGATGCAGGTGCGGTGCTAAATTTATTTTCCGGTTCGTCCACGAAGCAACACTAAGCGTGTTCAGTCTATCCGCTCACCTGTGCTCATGCACCTGCCGCGCTCTTCACTGCGGGAGGACGGCGACTGGCATCGCGCCCGTCATTCAAACGAGGCTTTTTGGTCCCCTGAAAACCCATGAAGAGTTGGACATTAACAACTCAGTGAAATACCAGACTGAACTTGAAAAGTGGACATTATGCTGCTAATGCTTAGCAACAACTCCCAGGTGGAACATGGTGCGCTAAATAACAAAACGTAATTTAACAAATTTGCCCCAAGAGGAGGACCAGCAGGGGGCGCCTCTCTGTGACTGCCCCAGGGCAGCTGTGGCTACTATCCAGTAGCTCCACCATCACTGTTGCTGTGGTTACATGTAACCCAGTGTTAAAAACACAAGTGAAAGTTAATTTGATGTCTTTTTTATCACAAGATTGGAAAGTATAAATAGATTTTGTGTTTTGTTTTACTCAGAAAAATAGATCAAAAAGTGCTGAAAATCTTTAAAAACTGTGAAATAAGCCTTTAATGATTGTTTTACTGATGGATTGGACAGCCAATGGCTGGCGTGGTCTGATATTTCATCAGCCAATGGGGTTGATTGTCCCGCCCCTTTCACTGCTGCCCTGCGATTCTGCTCAGAACCTCAGACGCGTTTGAGAGCTCACAACTGACCGTTGTTTCCGTTAAGAGCCTGAAAGAGACGATAAAATCTGGACAAATGTTTCTTTGAGAGCAGCTGAGAAAAGAAATCTGCGCTACCGTCAGAGCATTGGTCAGGTTTTTTTTTACGGTGCACTTTTGGCCCAGAGATTTCAGGACCCACTTCTTCGGAGAACCCAGTGAACCCAGTGAACCCAAAGAACCCAGTGAATCCAGTGAACCCAGTGAACCCAAAGAACCCAGTGAACCCAGAGAACCCAGTGAACCCAGTGAACCCAGTGAACCCAAAGAACCCAGAGAACCCAGTGAACCCAGTGAACCAAAGAACCCAGAGAACCCAGTGAACCCAGAGAACCCAGTGAACCCAGAGAACCCAAAGAACCCAGTGAACCCAGTGAACCCAAAGAACCCAGTGAACCCAGTGAACCCAAAGAACCCAGTGAACCCAGAGAACCCAGTGAACCCAGAGAACCCAGTGAACCCAGTGAACCCAAAGAACCCAGTGAATCCAGTGAACCCAGTGAACCCAAAGAACCCAGTGAATCCAGTGAACCCAGTGAACCCAAAGAACCCAGTGAACCCAGTGAACCCAGAGAACCCAGAGAACCCAGTGAACCCAGTGAACCCAGTGAACCCAGAGAACCCAAAGAACCCAGAGAACCCAGTGAACCCAGTGAACCCAAAGAACCCAGAGAACCCAGTGAACCCAGTGAACCCAGAGAACCCAAAGAACCCAGTGAATCCAGTGAACCCAGTGAATCCAGTGAACCCAGTGAACCCAAAGAACCCAGTGAACCCAGTGAACCCAGAGAACCCAGTGAACCCAGTGAACCCAAAGAACCCAGAGAACCCAGTGAACCCAGTGAACCAGTGAACCCAAAGAACCCAGTGAACCCAGAGAACCCAGTGAACCCAGTGAACCCAGAGAACCCAGTGAACCCAGAGAACCCAAAGAACCCAGTGAACCCAGTGAACCCAGAGAACCCAGTGACCCAGTGAACCCAAAGAACCCAGTGAACCCAGAGAACCCAGTGAACCCAGTGAACCCAGTGAACCCAAAGAACCCAGTGAACCCAGTGAACCCAGAGAACCCAGTGAACCCAGTGAACCCAAAGAACCCAGAGAACCCAGTGAACCCAGTGAACCCAGTGAACCCAGTGAACCCAGAGAACCCAGTGAACCCAGAGAACCCAGTGAACCCAGTGAACCCAGAGAACCCAGTGAACCCAGAGAACCCAAAGAACCCAGTGAACCCAGAGAACCCAGTGAACCCAGTGAACCCAAAGAACCCAGTGAACCCAGAGAACCCAGTGAACCCAGAGAACCCAGTGAACCCAGAGAACCCAGTGAACCCAAAGAACCCAGTGAATCCAGTGAACCCAGTGAACCCAAAGAACCCAGTGAACCCAGTGAATCCAGTGAACCCAGTGAACCCAGAGAACCCAGTGAACCAAAGAACCCAGTGAATCCAGTGAACCCAGTGAACCCAAAGAACCCAGTGAACCCAGTGAATCCAGTGAACCCAGTGAACCCAGAGAACCCAGTGAACCCAGAGAACCCAGTGAACCCAGAGAACCCAGTGAACCCAGAGAACCCAGTGAACCCAAAGAACCCAGTGAATCCAGTGAACCCAAAGAACCCAAAGAACCCAGTGAACCCAGTGAATCCAGTGAACCCAGTGAACCCAAAGAACCCAGTGAACCCAGTGAATCCAGTGAACCCAGTGAACCCAGAGAACCCAGTGAACCCAGAGAACCCAGTGAACCCAGAGAACCCAGTGAACCCAAAGAACCCAGTGAATCCAGTGAACCCAAAGAACCCAGTGAACCCAGTGACCCAGTGAACCCAAAGAACCCAGTGAACCCAAAGAACCCAGTGAACCCAGTGAATCCAGTGAACCCAGTGAACCCAAAGAACCCAGTGAACCCAAAGAACCCAGTGAATCCAGTGAACCCAGTGAACCCAAAGAACCCAAAGAACCCAGTGAACCCAGTGAATCCAGTGAACCCAGTGAACCCAGTGAACCCAAAGAACCCAGTGAACCCAGTGAACCAAAGAACCCAGAGAACCCAGTGAACCCAAAGAACCCAGTGAATCCAGTGAACCCAGTGAGATGGTAGATAGTGACCCGACTGTTCACTATCCTTGAAATACTGAGAGAATCGACTGACACATTGGAACGACTGTTATTTTATTTTTGTGTGCCATTTTGTTGCAATTGTATATGTGGATCCACAATTGTTCATATTATTGAATTTTACTCTTCCTTATTAACACTTTGTTCACTCCTTGTTGTTATTCACACCTCGGCTCCCGAGAAGTTAGAGTCTTTTGATTAACTGTACTTTCATAGTGTTAGCACTAATCAGAGAAGTACATTGAATTACCTGCCTTTTACTATTATCAGGTGTATTTAACTACCACCACTCTGGTGGTAGTTTAGAGCTCTCTCTCTGAGACGTTTCATCAAAAATCAGTGCAGCTACACAGACTCCAAAACAAGAAGGAACGATTGTCCAAAAAAAGCTAATTTTCCCCCAGGCTTCAGGAACCAAAGTTTCTTACAAACAGTAACAGACCTACCCTGCCTGCCACCTGAGCAACCTTTGACCTCTGGGTTCCAGGAAGCTGACATCATCGGACGAGACGGACGGATCTACAAAGGACGCTTCAGCATCGGCCAGCAGCAGAGCCCAGAAACCAAGTTGCCCAACATCGTCCAAAGATGGTGGGTTTTACCGAGTTCGTCTGGACCCGGGGCTCCGGTCCGTCTGGACCCGGCGCTCCGGTCCGTCTGGACCCGGGGCTCCGGTCCGTCTGGACCCGGCGCTCCGGTCCGTCTGGACCCAGGGCTCCGGTCCGTCTGGACCCGGCGCTCCGGTCCGTCTGGACCCGGCGCTCCGGTCCGTCTGGACCCGGCGCTCCGGTCCGTCTGGACCCGGCGCTCCGGTCCGTCTAGACCCGGCGCTCCGGTCCATCTGGACCCGGCTCCGGTGGTAGTTTAGAGCTCTCTCTCTGATGGCTGCAGGTAAACTGAAGGAGAGAACCAGGGTCACGCCCAAAGCCCCTGCTGTGTCTCCAGAGGCGGAGCCCAGCCCTCTGGCCACGCCCCCGTCTCTCAGCACCAAAAGCCTGCAGCCCAGCCGACCAGGTGAGCCCTGGAGGTCCAGTTCTGGTCCGGTCGGTGTTCACCAACTCTAACACCATGCTGTCTTCTCCTCTGCAGCCTCCAGCGGTTCTGGTCCGGACTGGGGCGCGTCGTCGCCTCTGGGCTCCGTCAGCACGATGTCAGCAGCAGAGAGCGAGCCGCTCGGCCTGTAGGGGGCAGCGCTGTGCTATTATTTTCATATCAGCTCAGGAATAAAGCTCACTGAACACTTCTTCCAGAATTCACCCCCAGCAGAACCTGATGGGTCCAGGAGGTTCTGTTACTTATTACATATTAATCCATGGTGGTTCTGTGGCTGCAGGTTGGTGACCCAGCCGTTGGATCACCAGGGAAAGTTCACGGCTGCAAGCAGCTTTCTGTTGCCAGAAACACCAGGCGGCAAACTGAAAGGGTTTGACTGTGGAAGCCCAGTGCATTCCGGTTCCACTCTGGTTCCACTCCGGTCCATGTCTGAACACAGATCAGATGTTTTAACACTTGCATTTACGATTCGTATCTGTGATTTCTAAATGTGACCCATGTGACATGCGTCGGCGTTCTGCGTGCTGAAATGGGACGATGAGGTTTTATGTTGTTAATGTTCCAACTCTGGTTGGACAACTTCAAAATCTCACAATATGCTCCACTGTTAGCATCCACATTTACTGAGCTCTTCTTTTTCTTTGTGGTGTTTGGCAAAGTACTGAGCACACTCTCTATGTGTGATGTCATGGCGCCCTCTACTGGGCATGCGGTCAGTTTCTCAGGCGATCACAAGTTGCATCTATTTGGAAATATGAGCGACAAAGCAAAAAAATTGGATGTGTGTTCCTTCAGGCTGAAGTGTGAACGTGGCCTAAATTTCTCATTTTTTCATACAGAGAAGCTGAAATCTTTTATTTGGTGATAAATGATTTTGAACTGCTGTTCAGAATCAGGTCTGGGATCTCGCACCAAAGCGGCGTACGCACAGAAAGTGTGCAGCAAGTTGGTATGTATGAAAATGAACGTGGTGTGAAAGTTTGCATAAATATATACAAACTTTTGACCTGCCATGAAAATGTGCTGCAGCCTCGCAAACTTTTTTTATGGACAATAAGAAACTAGATGGCGGCAAAATTTGCCTAAACACATTGAAACACGACTACAGAGTTTATCATGACTCTAATATTTTATTGTTTAAACGATGAAACTGAACCGATTTCTCCTCAGACAATAAGCCAACACAAAATAAATAACATAAAGATGTGTAACATCACAACATGTAAATAAGAATTGAGCTCAGTTTGTCTCATAAAGACAAAACGATTCGTCTGAATGAATCTATGGCTCATTTATTCTCACTGCAGAGAAAACAGGGCTGATCAATAGGTTTGATTACTGCAGGTGATCAATAGGTTTGATTACTGAAGGTGATCAATAGGTTTGATTACTGAAGGTGATCAATAGGTTTGATTACTGAAGGTGATCAATAGGTTTGATTACTGAAGGTGATCAATAGGTTTGATTATTGGAGGTGATCAGGTGTGTATAATCTCAGGTATATCAATAGCTGCCATCTTAGAAACTCCGCTCCTTCATTTTGGCTACAAAAAACGTCAAGCTGCCAAATAGAAAAATAACTGACCAATAAGATTTAAGCTTTGGCCTGCCCTTTGACCCCCACAGACTCAGATGTGCGCTATGTACAAGATGGTTTGATACAGAAAAGCTTTTTTTTCTCAACAATTTTGTTCATAGTAAACAGGGTTTGATAATAAAGATATCAGCAATTATTCTTTTCTTTTTTTACTTCAAGGAAAATCTTAAGGTCGGCAGAGCGATTCTGAACTGTAACCACAGAAAAGAGTGATTCATAAAGCAATTTATTCTAAACATTTTTTTATAATTTGCTTTTTTTTTTTAAATCTAAATATAAACAAATGTTATTACTTCAATGTAAAAACATGCAATTAAATCAATTAACTAACAATTGACTAAATTTTATAGATCTAGTCTGGCTATCAGGATCTATTACAATCTGTACATATTGTAATAGGTTACAATATGTACAGATTAATAAAGTCAAACTGAAACAGTAAAATGCTTTCCTCAAGGCTCAGTAAATTATTTATACTTTATTTTAATGATATTTTTCAGTGTGCAGTATTTTTATGTTTATAATGTTTGATGATACAAATTAATTGTTTTCTGGAAAAAAATTTGATGAAATAATGAAAAGAGTAGAAAACATGGTTAGATTACAGTAAGTTACCAGTAAATGAAAGAAAAACTAAATTCATGTTTTCTCTGGTAATCGGACCCATAATAATGTAAAGTTGAAAGTGATTGAGTTTATGAGACAGTTTTAGGGATTATTATAGACAATAAATTCACCTGGAACCTCATACTGAATATACACTACTGTTCAAAAGTTTGGGGTCTCCCCATTCAGTACTGTAGCTTCTGTGAGGAGCTAAACTGTTTTCAGATGTGTGAACATGATTGCACAAGGGTTTTCTAATCATCAATTAGCCTTCTGAGCCAATGATCAATCACATTGTACCATTAGAACACTGGAGTGATAGTTGCTGGAAGTGGGCCTCTTTACACCTATGTAGATATTGCACCAAAAAGCAGACATTTTTACCTAGAATAGTCATTTACCACATTAGCAATGTATAGAGTGTATTTCTTTAGTTAGGACTGGTTTAGAGTTATCTTCATTGAAAAGTACAGTGCTTTTAATGACATTTCAATGTGACCCCAAACTTTTGAACGGTAGTGTATTGTAAATAAAGTCACCAAAACTATTGGAACGTTGTTTAAAATAAAATATTTAATAAATGCTAAAGGCTTGCAAATTATATTTTCCTCTTCAATTTTGCTTTATTTGTCTCAGAAATCTGAGAGAATGTACGTAAAAAAACATTGATATTTTAGTTAAGTTGCAAAAAAAACTATAAGGTTTATTAATGTGGATATCATGAAACCAACTAACAAATTCTTTATTCAAAGTAATACTCTGAAAGCTAACTACATGCTAGCACTCTGAAAGCTAACTACATGCTAGCACTCTGAAAGCTAACTACATGCTAGCACTCTGAAAGCTAACTACATGCTAGCACTCTGAAAGCTAACTACATGCTAGCACTCTGAAAGCTAACTACATGCTAGCACTCTGAAAGCTAAACTACATGCTAGCACTCTGAAAGCTAACTACATGCTAGCACTCTGAAAGCTAACTACATGCTAGCACTCTGAAAGCTAACTACATGCTAGCACTGAAAGCTAACTACATGCTAGCACTCTGAAAGCTAACTACATGCTAGCACTCTGAAAGCTAACTACATGCTAGCACTCTGAAAGCTAACTACATGCTAGCACTCTGAAAGCTAACTACATGCTAGCACTCTGAAAGCTAACTACATGGCTCCATACATTGTAACCATCGTTATTTCATAGATCCAGCTCAAATGTTTTTAATTTCTAAAACTTTATTGTTAAGTTTTTCTCGTCAGAGATCAAACAGTTTCCTATAAACATTGGAAATTTTAAATCTTATAAAAATCTACCATAAAGTTTCCCTTTGACACTGGAACACACGAGAGAAAAGCCGGCCTGGATGGCTCTGGTTCCGGCTCGGCTGGCTCTTTGGACCAGATCAGAATGTGTTTTATTAAACATATAAATAAAATCCAACAACAGAATTAAACGTACAGAAACTAACCCGACCCGGAAACTAAAACCTGAAAATGTTCATGTTCACCGACCCATAGAACCCCGGCATCATTCAAAGGGCTAAACATCCGGGCCAGGACAGAACCGAACCCTTCTGGTTCTGGATCTTTCTGGTTATTAACTTTCAAGTTTTTTAGATCTGGAAGCAAAGATTAAAAAAAATTCAGATTAATTGATAATCTGCTGATAGTTGATATAGACCCGGTTCTGTGACCCGGTTCTGCAATTTGGCCTCATGTCCAAGGAGAGTCAGGAGATTCTGGGGATTTGCGGGTCGGTTCTGATCTGAGTCCAGTTTGACCCGGAAGTGAAAAATCAACCGGAACAGAAAGGTGCTGTGAAGGAGTGTTCTGGTTCTGGTTCTGGTTCCATGTGCAGCACAGAAAGGACACTCAGAGGTTCAGCGTCTCAGGAACGTTCCTCTGACCTCTGACCTCTGACTCCGTCATGGCCAACATTCAGCATGAAGGAGAACCGGTTCTGAACATCTGGACCCAAACGTCTCCCAGTCATTGAGCGAACAAAGGTTTGGTTCTGAGTCTGACCCAGGTCCAGGACCAGAACTGGGTCAGGTTCTGATGAATCCACTTTCAGAAAGTTTAAAGTTTGGAAAAATAAATGGAAATAAAAATAAATTTGAAGCAGAATCGGGTCGGTTTCCCTCCAGGCAGAACCCGGCCGGACCCAGACCCGGTGCCGGCTATTCGGACCTCATGGCTTTGTGTTCTGAGTCCAGCGGGCCGGGACAGAATCCCCACAGAACCTCCGGACTCTCCATGAATCCGTGGAAGCTAGCATACCGACCCGATCAGAACCGACCCAGTCCTCATCTCGGGCTGTGGAGCGCCGACATGGCGGCCGGCTGCTGGGGGCCGCCCGGCGTGGCGCCGGGGGGCCACAGGGCCACCGGGCGGCGGTGCAGGTGGAGGTGACCTTGATGGTGACCTTGATGGTGACCTGTGGGGGAGGGAGGGGGCAGCCAGGGGGGTTGGTGGGTGGGGGGCGAGGCGGTCCATGTTGGGGGGGGTGCTGGGGGCGAGGCGGCCTGGGGGGGGCAGTCTGACGCCCGTAGCCTGGAGAACATGGCGATGGCGTCTGGGAAGTTGGGGGGCGTGGCCGGCGTGTTCCTGGGCGTCACCGTCTGTGGGGGGAGACAAACCGTTAGATGCTGCTACCCCTCCCCAACCCGCTGCTGCCCCATAACAGATGTGAAAACCAGACCAGCGGATCGACGTCAGGTCTAAAAATCAGCTGCTGGTGCTAGCCCCGCCCACCCGGTTAGCCCCGCCCACACGCTCATGAAACAGTCCTGTCACAGATTGGACATTGAAGTGGCGCCCTCTGCCACCTCATTCTGGTACTGCAGCCTCTGTTCATCACCAGAAGTGAACCACTGTGATAACCCGGTTCGGCTCAGTTGGTTTTGCTGGGACCTGGACCCGACCTGTGAGTCGTGCTCGTTTTAAAGTGATGACAACATCTGGACTTTGGTTCTGTAGAACCAAACTGGTCCAAGTGAAGGTTCTGCTTGTTAGGTACCATGCAAGGTTCTGTTCCAGGTTTCTGATGCTCCAAACAGAACCACCAACTCTGACTGGTTCTGGTCCAATCCTAATGGTTGGGTTTTGGTTCTGGAGGGGATGAAGCAGCTCCTTACCATCTGGTGCTGACCCGGAACATTGGCCTCCTGGAAGAAGGAGCTCAGCGCCGTCTGCAGACACAGCAACACAGCAACATCAAAATGAACCCAGAACTGGGTCAGAACCAGCACAACATTCCCCTTCACATGGGCCCTGACCTCTGACCTCAGGACCAGCAGCTATATCTGAAGGCTCAGAACCTTCTGGTCCATCTGGAGGTCAAAGGTCCTTCAGGTGAGTCACGTGTTCAACCAACAACTGAACTCAGATCCGAACAGTCAGTGAACGGTTCAGTCTAACAACTGAAACGATTCCTCCCCGGTTCCAACTTTCGTTTTGACTGAAGGTGAATCGGTGAGTCTCTCCGGGATGATCCGGTTCTCAGGCGGATCCGGATGTCGAAGAACTGTTCATCCATCACGGAATGACTCGGTTGCAAAATGTAAACAAAGGCAGCCATTGGTGGGACACCGCGTCCTCTCAGTGGCTAATGTTAGCACGAGCAGCAGCGCGATCCGAAGCCGAACCGCAGAACCGATCCCCTGTTAGTCATTCCTGTCGGTCCGCTCCGAAACCCGAACCCACTCCCGCTGGTCCCGCGACAGGAAGCGGGCTTAAAGCCTCCGCGGTCCGGACTCACCTCGAACTGCCAGTGGGCCGCCTGGAGGAGCTGCTTGGCCTGATCGGCGGCGCATCCGGCCGCCAACACGAACTGGTTGATCATCACCTGGTGCCTCAGCTCCTCCATGTTCACCGACATGCCGCTTCCGCCTGTCACAAAGCCAAACTGGAGAACCCGTCGGTGATCCGGGACAAGCACCCCGCAGCGACACCGCAGCTCGCTGGCCGTCCGAGTCCTGTGGCCCGAAGCAGCAACAACAAGGAGCTGCTCGCTGCTGATTGGTCCGGAGCTCAACAAGCTGGAGCAGGGAGGCGCTGATTGGCTGATACAGTAAACCGATTAAACTCTGTGAGTTTGGTTTAGTACACGGGGACTAAATTCATGGGCGGCGTCAACAAATCTGATCGGAATTACGAAGCGACCCGCCCGGTTGGATGAGCCGGTGAAACTACAGAAGGTCCCTCGCTCTGTGACGTCATGCGTGAGTGGATGAAATCATTGAGCTGATTGGCTGCTTTGCCCAAGTCAACCTCGCTGCAGCTAACAGGAAGGCTGTCAGTCTGAGACTGACAGCCATTGCACTCCGGAAGTGAAGGGGGCGCTGTTTCCTATATTTTTCACGGTCTCCCGTTTTTATTTTCTTTTTAAATCTGTGATATATTTTCACCTTTAGTAAGGATTTTCTCTCTCAGCATTTATTTGAACTTCTCTCTTTTATTTACTTGAGTGCAGCTCACAGTGTAGCTTTCTGTGTTTTTCTAAATCTGGGTCTTTTCAGGCCTGATACTGCCCCTAATGGCTAGGGGTGGTAACACAACTAATATAATTACATTACTAAATCAGAATAGCAGAACTTTTGGCAAGATGGCGATGTGGGCGCAAGTGTTTTTCTGAGCTCCATTGTGCAGCCCTCAAGCAGCTAAATAACCCTAACCCTTGATGGGTTAGGCCCTTTACACACCTCTTCATCCCCAAGGTGGACCCGAACATCCATACTTTACACTAAGAAGAAAGAATAAGAGTTTTATAAAAGATGTCGGTCGTTAATGAGAAAGATTTCCCCAGTCTGAAGAGTGCTAACGCTGCTAAGCTAAACACGCATAACTGCGCTGCTGCTGCTAGCGCTGAAACACCGATGGAGACGTCAAATAGCTCCGGTACAAGACGGAAACCAACCAAACCACCTTAAAAACAAGCCACTGAGTCAGAGGCCTCCTTGGCTGCCGTCTTAGCAGCCATTAAAAGTTTGGATAGCAAGGTTGATGACTTTGGCAAACAGCTAAAAGAAAATTCGGACTTGTTTGCCCGCATTACTCTCCAAGTGGAGCAGAACGCACTCGGCGTGGCTGAATGTAAATCTGCAACGGAAAACCTTGAACAGAAGTTTGCCGTAATGAATAAAGAAAACGCTGCTCTGAAAGAAAAACTCCTGGAGGCTGAAAGATACAAGCGTCGATGGAACCTGAGGCTGTCGGGCCTCAAAGAGCAAGAAGGAGAAAACCTCAAAGAAAAGGCAGAACAACTTCTCTCAACTATCTTACCACAATGGGCGGACCAGATAGGAGATGTGATCGATACAATCCATCGATTAGGAAGAAAAGAAGAGGGTCGAACCCGTCAAGTCATCCTGCAGTTCACTAGGAGGCGCCATCGAGACACAATCTGGATTCAGCAGTGTGCAAAGAACAAGGTCTGCGTTTTGCTCAAGATTTTCTGAAGGAAGGCCGGCTGGCAAGAGAAGAACTGCGGCCTAAGATCACCAAGACCAGATCCCAGGGTCAGGTGACCTTTTACAGAGGTCACATCGCAGTGATCAAAGCTTCACCTCCCTTCTGAGACTACAGATTACTCTGTTTATTACATCCTCCCATTATAGGGTTAAACAAAAGTCAGCACAGTTTTTCATTTTAATATTGATTTTTATCTCGAAGTTGCTTGTCATAGTTAAACTGTTGTCTGTGCTCCTCAGGGTATTTTTGTTTTTATTCAAATTAAAAGTTTTAAGTTAAGTTTAGAGAAGGTTGTGGATGCAGGTTGATTTTTCCATGTCATAATGTAAAGGCGTTCTTAAACTTCTCTTTGGTCTTTAGTTCATTCTATCTAAAAACCTTTAAGGTTTATGTCTTTACAAAATTGTTTCTTTTGTTTTCATTTTATGTCTTTAAAAGTTAATCAAGTTTTTGTCGCTAAATGTAAGGGGCTTAAGAGAAAATGTCAAAAGGAAGGCAATGTTTATGTATTGTAGAAATAAGAATCCACATTGTGTTCTTCTTCAAGAAACCCATTCAACGGACTCTGATGAAAAGTTCTGGTCAAATCAGTGGGGAGATCAGATGACTTACTCACATGGTTCATCTAAATCAGCAGGTGTGGCTGTATTACTGAATAACTTTCCAGGGAAGATAATTTATACAAAACATGACAGTGATGCCATTGGTCTCTTTCTGTATTACATATTGAGGACTCGTTAATAATTCTCGGTAATATTTATGGTTACTGTAACATTTCCAAGAATAAAGAGCTTCTTACAATTATTGAAGCAAATATTGAACAACTTAAACAAAGATTTTCTACTAAATATATTTTATTAGGTGGGGATTGGAATATGGTTATGGACGAAGCTCTTGATAGATATCCAAGTAAGTCTGTAAACGTCCATCCAAACCGGACTCTGTCTGATTTCTGTAACAGATTGGAACTTATTGACTTATGGAGAGACAAACATATTAATGAAACTCAGTTCTCCTGGTTTAAATCAGATGCTTCAAGCAGATCTAGAATAGATTTTTGGCTAGGAACAGATGATGTTCTCAAACTAACATCAGACTGTAATATGTCTCCAACCCCTCTCACTGATCATTGCAGCATCAATTTATTAATTAGTCCTCTTCCTGAGAGTTTGAGACATAGAGGGTATTGGAAATTCAATGCAGATCAATTAAAATATGAGCTGTATTGCAGAGAAATCAAAGATCTAGTGAATAAGATTCTGTTAGATGAGTCAATAATAACCTACACCAAAAATGGGAATATCTAAAATATAAGATACGGGCTTTCTCTATCTCGTTTAGCAAAAACCTAAAAACAAACAATGACCTGGAAGAAGTAAGGTTAGTTAAAGAGTTAAACCTATTATACGTTAAACAGATGTTGACTGATGCTGACAAAAATAACCTCCTGATCCTACAAGCTCAATTGGACAACATCTATGAAAGAAATGGCCGAGTGGATAGAAGAGGCAAGTTAAAAATCACATTCAATCCCTTATTATTAACAGCACTGAATGTACAGACCAAATTCTAATTGCAAAAGAAATCAGCAACTTTTATAAAAACCTTTATTGCTCTTCGTTTTCAACCCAAGACTGCGACCTTCTGCTAAACCAAGTCAAAGACTTTGTCCCTCAAATCTCTGAGGATTTTAAGGGAAACTGGGACAAAGATATTAATATCGAGGAATTAGACAGCGCCACCAGGTGTTTGAAACTGGATAAATCTCCTGGCCCGGATGGCCTTACTGCCAATTTCTATAGACACTTCTGGGATTATCTCAGAGAACTTATATTCCATGTTTTTAAAGAGATCTTAAGTAATAATTTACTTCCTCCCACCATGAAGCAGGTTCCTCCGACAGTTTCATCTGGAAAAATCGAGTCCACTACTTAAAGAAAGCAAATATGGTTCAAGACTTTAAAGATGGTGGTTTACAAGCCATAGACTTTAAATGTTTAAACGCCGTCTTAAAGGTAAATTGGTTAAAATCCTTTTTAATGAATGGAATCAGTGTCTGGTTTTGTCTCCCCAAAGGTTTGTTTAAAAAATTGGATGCATGGATTTTGTTCTTAGATGTGACTTTGATGTCAACAGACTTGCTGTTAAGTTATCGGCTTTTCATAAGCAGGTTTAAACTTCTGAACATGAACAGCTTTACTCCTCAGCAAACTCCCAACTGGAACAATAGACAGAAATAAATCTCTATTTGGATCACTGGATGGAAAAAGGTATTTGGTCCATAAGACATTTTCTGAATGACAGTGGAGATTGGTTGTCTTATGATGAATTTTGCTTATTGTATAACTTGGTTTGCTCATGCACTCAGTTTCATATGGTATTAAACTCCTTCCCCTCTGCAGTCAGATATAAACATTAATCAGCTGACCTTCAGTTTCCAGCTCTTCAACTGTTTGGATTTAATGACAAAAGTCATTCTAACAAACGGATGCGTCAGCATCTTACTAATATTATATTTCCTGTCCGACCAAATAAAAACTCCATTTTAAATTCATCTTCTGATTTTGAGGTTAATAAGTGGAGAATTGATTACCTTAAATATCCTCTGAGCCCTAAAGCTGAAGAAGTTCATTTTAAAATTCTCAATAACATTTTTCCATCCAGGAAACTTTTAAGACAAAGATTTAACTTCGACATTTGTACCTTTTGTGATACTGACATTGAAACAACAGATCATCTTTTTTCTATTGTGTGCAAACTGCATCATTTTGGAGAAACTTTCAGGACTGGATCTCAACTAAACTTTCCCTCCATCATCCCTTAAAAACAGAGGATGTAATATTTAGACCCACAAAGACAAAACCCGGCCTGGTTCTGAACCACCTGCTGATCCTCGCCAAATTCTTCATCACTCTGTAAATAGAAAACCAAACTGATCAGCCTTTAAAAACCTTCTGATGGAAAAACGCTTCAGAACCTTAAAACTGATGGAAAACAAGCAGGGAATGAAACTTTTGGACGCTCATAACGACCTGACTTTATTTGACAACTAAAGCCCTTTTGTCTTTTTCTGTTTTTTGTTTTTGTTCTGTAATCCCTGTTTGATGTCTGAGTGGTTTTATTTATTTCACTTCTTTATTTTGTTATTATCTTTTAGTTATATGTGTCTTAAGCCTGTAAAATGTGACTTCTCCATGTATGTATATGCCACGTGATTTTGTATAATTGTTAAGTAATAATAATAAAAAAATGTGTTAAAAACTATGAGCTGCACTGAACTATATCACAGATTTAAAAAGAAAATGAAAACGGGAGGATAATACAGGAAACAGCGCCCGCTTCACTTCCCCTTCGATGCCCCTTCCTGTTTGCTGCAGCGAGGTATTTCTCTTTTTGTCTGGCAAAACACTCCCACGTCTCTGAAGGTTTTTAAAAGATCAAACCTTAGATTTCAGTTTATTCCTCAATGTCAGGTTATGATCACATTATTTTATGTGCAAAAAGTAAAACTGGAACTTTGTATAGCTTAGACTCTTGAACTGACCACTTTCTATAAACACCTCACTAATAATCCATTACTCTGTTGTGGTGGCCAAATTAATGTAAAATAATATTCAGTTACTGTTAAAGCATTTCTTTCATTAGTAATTTAATAAGTGCATTTGTTGCGGTTTAAGTAGCATTATTAGCATAACATGTAGCTAATTTCCTAATGTGTTATTGTGAATGAGTGTTTTATTTTAGGTTATGTGTTTATAGCTTAATTGGCCACTTTGCAATTTATGCAAATGATGTTAATGAAGGATAGATAGAGAAAGTAGCATCTGCAGAGCCATGCGGTTTTTCAACTGTAGTTGATGCATGGATGATGCATCAACTACAGTTAGGGTTAGGGTTGTTTGTGGAGGTTAGCTAATATTCAACTGCTCTTGTAAAAAATAATATGCAAAACTGTGGAATAAATTTTTGTTTGCATCCATATATTGGAGCGCCGTGGAAGTTTTTATTTTCCTCTTCAAACACGCGAGAGAATACAGTGAATAAACACATTTGTTTTATTGGGACAAAATATGATGAGACGCATTTTCCTTTGCCATTTTTCGAAATGGGAAAGACAAAAGAACATTTCATACAAGGAAGCAGATGGAAGCAATCGTTAGCATTAGCAGTTCAAAGAAATGAAAAGTCAGATGGACCAGAATTTATCCTCTAAGTCAAACTGGAAGACGAAATGTCCCAAAACTTTCTGGAAGAGACATAGAGCAAACCTAACACCCTGTCCTACCATCAACAGGAAGGTAGCATACATCACTATGGTTAGCAGGAAGCTAGAATACCATCATTACTGTTAGCAGGAAGCTAGAATACCATCATTAATGTTAGCAGGAAGCTAGAATACCATCATTACTGTTAGCAGGAAGCTAGAATACCATCATTAATGTTAGCAGGAAGCTAGAATACCATCATTAATGTTAGCTAGAAGCTAGAATACCATCATTAATGTTAGGTAGAAGCTAGAATACCATCATTACTGTTAGCAGGAAGCTAGAATACCATCATTAATGTTAGCAGGAAGCTAGAATACCATCATTAATGTTAGCTAGAAGCTAGAATACCATCATTAATGTTAGGTAGAAGCTAGAATACCATCATTACTGTTAGCAGGAAGCTAGAATACCATCATTAATGTTAGCAGGAAGCTAGAATACCATCATTAATGTTAGCAGGAAGCTAGAATACCATCATTAATGTTAGCAGGAAGCTAGAATACCATCATTAATGTTAGCAGGAAGCTAGAATACCATCATTAATGTTAGCAGGAAGCTAGAATACCATCATTAATGTTAGCTAGAAGCTAGAATACCATCATTACTGTTAGCAGGAAGCTAGAATACCATCATTAATGTTAGCAGGAAGCTAGAATACCATCATTAATGTTAGCAGGAAGCTAGAATACCATCATTAATGTTAGCTAGAAGCTAGAATACCATCATTACTGTTAGCAGGAAGCTAGAATACCATCATTAATGTTAGCAGGAAGCTAGAATACCATCATTAATGTTAGCAGGAAGCTAGAATACCATCATTACTGTTAGCAGGAAGCTAGAATACCATCATTAATGTTAGCAGGAAGCTAGAATACCATCATTAATGTTAGCAGGAAGCTAGAATACCATCATTAATGTTAACAGGAAGCTAGAATACCATCATTACTGTTAGCAGGAAGCTAGAATACCATCATTAATGTTAGCAGGAAGCTAGAATACCATCATTACTGTTAGCAGGAAGCTAGAATACCATCATTAATGTTAGCAGGAAGCTAGAATACCATCATTAATGTTAGCAGGAAGCTAGAATACCATCATTAATGTTAGCAGGAAGCTAGAATACCATCATTAATGTTAGCAGGAAGCTAGAATACCATCATTAATGTTAGCTAGAAGCTAGAATACCATCATTACTGTTAGCAGGAAGCTAGAATACCATCATTAATGTTAGCAGGAAGCTAGAATACCATCATTAATGTTAGCAGGAAGCTAGAATACCATCATTAATGTTAGCAGGAAGCTAGAATACCATCATTAATGTTAGCAGGAAGCTAGAATACCATCATTAATGTTAGCAGGAAGCTAGAATACCATCATTAATGTTAGCAGGAAGCTAGAATACCATCATTAATGTTAGCAGGAAGCTAGAATACCATCATTAATGTTAGCAGGAAGCTAGAATACCATCATTAATGTTAGCAGGAAGCTAGAATACCATCATTAATGTTAGCAGGAAGCTAGAATACCATCATTACTGTTAGCAGGAAGCTAGAATACCATCATTAATGTTAGCAGGAAGCTAGAATACCATCATTAATATTAGCAGGAAGCTAGAATACCATCATTAATGTTAGCAGGAAGCTAGAATACCATCATTAATGTTAGCTAGAAGCTAGAATACCATCATTACTGTTAGCAGGAAGCTAGAATACCATCATTAATGTTAGCAGGAAGCTAGAATACCATCATTAATGTTAGCAGGAAGTTAGAATACCATCATTACTGTTAGCAGGAAGCTAGAATACCATCATTAATGTTAGCAGGAAGCTAGAATACCATCATTAATGTTAGCAGGAAGCTAGAATACCATCATTAATGTTAGCAGGAAGCTAGAATACCATCATTAATGTTAGCAGGAAGCTAGAATACCATCATTAATGTTAGCAGGAAGCTAGAATACCATCATTAATGTTAGCAGGAAGCTAGAATACCATCATTACTGTTAGCAGGAAGCTAGAATACCATCATTAATGTTAGCAGGAAGCTAGAATACCATCATTACTGTTAGCAGGAAGCTAGAATACCATCATTAATGTTAGCAGGAAGCTAGAATACCATCATTAATGTCAGCAGGAAGCTAGAATACCATCATTAATGTTAGCAGGAAGCTAGAATACCATCATTAATGTTAGCAGGAAGCTAGAATACCATCATTACTGTTAGCAGGAAGCTAGAATACCATCATTAATGTTAGCAGGAAGCTAGAATACCATCATTAATGTCAGCAGGAAGCTAGAATACCATCATTAATGTTAGCTAGACGCTAGCACACCGTTACTAAAGAGCATAGAGAAGAACAACAACCCAATTAATTTTCAGTGAATTCAGAATCTGTGCGTGGAGAGGCAGTTGGTACGACTGATCCTCCGAGCAACAAGGTGCAGGGGTCAACGTTCAAGTCCTGCCACTGGACCATAAGCCAGGAGTTAAAAGGTTCTGGCCGCTGCCATCTCTGGATGGATTTCAGTAAAGATGGCCGCTGCAGCTCTCCGTTTACAGCAGTAAAGATGGCCGTCGTCTCTGGATTGTAAAGTTGCAGAGAGCAACAGCACCGTCAGCACACAAAGGAAACAAACAAACAAACAGGAAGGTCAGCTGACAGCAACGCCGTTAGTGGACCGTTGGTTGCAGCTTCTGACCCGGTTCTGTTTGGAGTTGGACCAGGAGTGGTGGGTTGGGATGTGATGCGTTCAGTGACTCGGACTGCTTTCAGTTTATTATCATTTGTCTTCTTCTGATGAATTTGCTGCATGGTGATGACGTAACAGTCGGCTAAAATGCGACTCGCCGTTCTGCCTGCAGACACTTTGAAAACTATCGGGTTTCGTTCCACATCTGGAAGAGGAACAGATCTGCTTTATTTTGAGAAAAGATGGGATCTAGTTGCGTTGTGCTTTAGCAGCTGGCGGTTCTCCTCCAAAGTTCTCCAGGTTTCCAAACTGGCATGGCCGTCATGCTGCCTCCAAGCAGCCAATCAGAGCCCAGCTGCTGAGCCAGGCCGCCATGTTGAGCTTTTCCAGCTGAGAAATTAGTTCAAAGCTTTGAAAACTGACAGAAAAGGAGATAATGAATTATTAATCGGTTCTGTCTGGGTTTCTGTTCCCGTCATGCTCTAGTCTCTGTTCCCAGCTGCAGCTGGGCCCCCTGGAGAGGCCCCGGGCCTCAGGTTGGGAACCTCCCCGGTCAGCTGCAGAGTGGTTAGAAACGCAGAACCATGGAAACCGGCCGGCCAATGGGGGAGCGGGAAGCTGTTTACTGGGGGGTGTCCCGTTACCATGGTTCCGGGACAAACCTCCGTCAGCAGGTATTAAACTGGCAACCCTGCGGAGCCCCGAGCCGCGGACACACAGAGGAGCGCAGACTGCAGCGGGACTGGCGCAGACTGCAGCGGGACTGGCGCAGACTGAAGCGGGACTGGCGCAGACTGAAGCGGGACTGGCGCAGACTGAAGCGGGACTGGCGCAGACTGAAGCGGGACTGGCGCAGACTGAAGCGGGACTGGCGCAGACTGCAGGTGTCCGAGTTTAAAGTTCAGCAAACTGTTTTATTTGGGATCTAAAAGTTTCTCTTCAAGGTGAGTTTCTGGATCCATTGGAGGCTTCTGGTTCCGAAGGCCTGAAATATCCAAACTGATACTTTTACTGACTGTTATTCAGAGTCAAAGTGGTCGCATTAATTATTAATGCCATAAAAGTGGCTGCTGGGGAGAGACTGGAGATCAGGACGTAACGGGTAAAATATGAGAAAAACCAAATGAGCGGATAATGCGAGTTCAGTCACATTTGAATATTTCCACCATTTTATTAGTATCATCACAAGTTTCTAGTAGTTTCCAGCCGTTAGCAGCAGAGGAAACGCAGATGTCGCTGCGGCAGCGCAAAGATGTGCGTTAATCTGGTCTGCAGTCATCAAAACTATAAATGTTTCTCTTGTTCACTTTTAGGGGCCAGGTTGCCTCGAGGTTCCAATCGGGTAGCAGAACCGAGCCCTGTGTGGCGCAGGACGGGGAGCCATGCTGTCTCTGAGCCCGGTGGGCCCCGAGGAGCAGCGGAGCTGCGGGAGCTGCGGGGCCCCCTGCAGCTGCGGTCTGGATGACAGCCTGACCAACCTGCAGTGGCTGCAGGAGTTCTCCATCCTGGGGGCCCCGGGGCCGCAGCAGGGCCAGCAGCAGCTGGGCCCCGGCGGCCCGGCCTCGCCCCTGGCCGGGGACCCGGCCTCCTGCAGCGGGTCACCGCTGACTCCCGGGAAGCCCACCTCGGCGGCCTTCAGCCGGATGCGGGCCCCGCCGGGCCTCGCGGCGCGGGGCCACTGCCCGGCCGAGGTGGATTACCGCAGCAACCCGGACATCAAGCCGCCGTTCTCCTACGCCACGCTGATCTGCATGGCCATGCAGGCCAGCCAGCGCAGCAAGCTCACCCTGGCCTCCATCTACCAGTGGATCACCGACAACTTCTGCTACTACCGGCACGCGGACCCCACCTGGCAGGTAGCTGCGTGACGTCACACACACCTCACACAATCCGGACTGTATGCAGAGGACAGGCAGGATGTACCTGGAGGGGGTGGGAGTTTATCTGGAGTCACACAGGAAGCTGATCACAGCGACCCCTGCTGGCCTAGAGGCCTTCAAGATCATAAGAGATAACGATGATGTCACACAGGTTATCATCTTGTCATCATCGTGTCAACAGATAATAACAAATCATAACAGATGATAACAGATGATTATTTAGGGAAAAGAACACGGGTTCAGTGCTAGTCAAAGTCTCTCTGTCATACTTTCTCCATCTGCAGAACGTCCTAGTCAAAGTATTCCCTGGCAGGCAGCAGGTTTCCAGTTAGACTCTGCCTCCCTGGGAATGATTGACGCGCCAGTGGCTCAGCAGCTCTGACATCTTGCAGCGTTTTGTTGTTGTTGGGCAGATAATATTTAACAGAGGTCAGAGGTCGCCTTCCGGGGGTTTTCCTGCTCTGACTCAGAACGTCTCCCTGCAGAACTCCATCCGCCACAACCTGTCGCTCAACAAGTGCTTCATCAAAGTCCCCCGCCGCAAAGACGAGCCTGGCAAGGGCGGCTTCTGGCGCATCGACCCCCCCTACGCCGAGCGCCTGCTCAGCAGCGCCCACCGGATGCGACGCACGCCGCCGCTCCGGGTCCACCTGCCGCCGCCGAACGAGGAGCGCCGGGACCCCCGCTTGTCTGAGGGCGGCCCTCCGGGCCCCCGGCCCCCGGCCCCTGGCCGGCGCGGCCCCAAGAGGAAGTCGGCGCTGGCGTCCCGGAGCGGCGCCTCCGAGGCTACCCGGCACTGCAGCTCCCCGCTGCTCTACGTGGACGAGCAGAGGGACGCCGGGCCCCTGAAGGGCCCCTTCGACTGGGACGGCCTGTTGGACTCGGCCCTCCGGGGGGAGCTCAGTTTGGATGGGGGCGACTCTCTGAGCCCCATCATGGCCTCCGCCGACCCTCCTTCACTCAGGAGTGGCAACGACCTTGACGAGGAGACCTTCCTGGCAACCGCTTTCCTGGAGACGCCCTGGCCGGAGGACGAGGACCGGGGCGACTTCCTGAGCGGCTCCACCGTCAACCTGGACCAACTGTTTGACCTGGGAGAGCCACTAGCCTTGGACGCTAGCAGCCGGATGGAGCCGCTAGCCTTGGACGCTAGCAACTGTCTCATTTGAAGAAAGGGTCAGTAGCTAAAGTGGCAGCATGGACACTTGTCCATGCTGCTTCCTGGAGGAACCAGGAACAGAGGAGACAGAGTCCAACGTTAAGAAACGAAGTGAAGAATATTTCTGTAGTAAATCTGAAGTTTTTAGTGTTGTAGTGAAATTTGTTCTGACATGTTTGTTATCAATTTGTTATGAATGGGTTCATGTTCATAGTTCAATATATTAAAATTTTGAGCTGTTATCAACATGAAATAGTTCTATTCAGTGGCTTATAAACTGTATTTTAATACACATTTATAAATAAAGTCCTTTTAAATAAAGACCTGCTGCTGTCATAAGGAAGCAGAAAAACTCAGGATTTCAGCTGGAAACTCGTTCCTGAAAGATTCCAGGTTTTCCTGCTAGAGTTTCTTGCTAAAGTTTCACAAACAGCTGAGAGACTCTCAGATGAGGACAGACTTGATCTGTGCTGCTGGTCTTTACTTTCAGGGTCAGAGGTCACAGTGTAACAGCCTGACCACGCAGCAGACAATGTTGAAGTTTAATTCACTGACGGATCCTGCGAGGACGCAGGTCAGGTCAGACTGTCTCCATGTGGCAGCAAGCGTTGGCTAAGGTGCTACGCTAGCTATGCTAGTGCTTTGCTAGCTCTGCTAGTGCTTCGCTAGCTATGCTAGTGCTATGCTAGCTCTGCTAGTGCTACGTTAGCTCTGCTAGCATAACACTAGCTAGCATAGTGTTATGCTACGCTAGCTGTGCTAGCATAGTTGTCAGAGGAAACATCCAGAAGTCAGCAAGGTGATGTTTAGCTAGCAGGAATGTTTTCTCGGATTCCAAAGTTTTCCAAAGTTTTCCAGGGTTTTCCAGGGATAACAAAATGATGACAGGAAACTTCCTGATGTCTTCCTGTCATCATGGTGACTCTCTGTCAGCTGCTTCCTCTTCCCTTATTGGCTCAGTGGGGGGTCTCCCACCTCACACCCATCAGTGATGAGGTAACGATGACCTCATAACGCCGTCGTGGTAACCTGAAGCAGGTGTTGCTCTGCAGGTAAGACGATCCTGCAGCTGAAATGCGACGCTGCAAACCGAAAGCTCTGAACGCCTGAGACCAGATGGAGGGAAAATTCTGACCCACCATGATGAACATGTACTGGATCATTCAGAACCTTTTGGGCAAGCAGAGCTCCAGTGGGGTCATACTGGTTCTGGTTCTGGTCCTGGTTCTGGTCTTGGTTCTGGTTCTGGTTCTGGTCCAGGTTCTGGTATTGGTTCTGGTTCTGGTTCTGGTCCTGGTTCTGATCTTGGTCCTGATTCTGGTCCTGGTTCTGGTCTTGGTTCTGGTGCTGGTTCTGGTTCTGGTCCTGGTTCTGGTCTTGGTTATGGTTCTGGTCCTGGTTCTGGTCTTGGTTCTGGTCTTGGTTCTGGTTCTGGTCCTGATTCTGGTCCTGGTTCTGGTCTTGGTTCTGGTTTTGGTCCTGGTTCTGGTCTTGGTTCTGGTTCTGGTCTTGGTTCTGGTCCGTGGTCTGGTTCTGGTCTTGGTCCTGGTTCTGGTCTTGGTTCTGGTTTTGGTCCTGGTTCTGGTCTTGGTTCTGGTTCTGGTCTTGGTTCTGGTTCTGGTCCAGGTTCTGGTCTTGGTCCTGATTCTGGTTCTGGTCTTGGTCCTGATTCTGGTTCTGGTCTTGGTTCTGGTTCTGGTCCTGGTTCTGGTCTTGGTTCTGGTTCTGGTTCTGGTCCTGGTTCTGGTTCTGGTCCTGGTCTTGGTTCTGGTTCTGGTCCTGGTCTTGGTCCTGGTTCTGGTCTTGGTTCTGGTCCTGATTCTGGTTCCTGGTTCTGGTCTTGGTTCTGGTTTTGGTCCTGGTTCTGGTCTTGGTTCTGGTTCTAGTTCTGGTTCTGGTACTGGTACTGGTCCTGGTTCTGGTTCTGGTTCTGGTCTTGGTTCTGGTTCTGGTTCTGGTCTTGGTTCTGGTCCTGATTCTGGTTCCTGGTTCTGGTCTTGGTTCTGGTTTTGGTCCTGGTTCTGGTCTTGGTTCTGGTTCTAGTTCTGGTTCTGGTTCTGGTACTGGTACTGGTCCTGGTTCTGGTTCTGGTTCTGGTCTTGGTTCTGGTCCTGGTTGTGGTTCTGGTCTTGGTTCTGGTCCTGGTTGTGGTTCTGGTCTTGGTTCTGTTTCTGGTCCTGGTTCTGGTTCTGGTCTTGGTTCTGGTTCTGGTCCTGGTTCTGGTCCTGGTTCTGGTCCTGGTTCTGTTTCTGGTCTTGGTTCTGGTTCTGGTTCTGGTCTTGGTTCTGGTTCTGGTTCTGGTCTTGGTTCTGGCTCTGGTCCTGTTCTGGTCCTGGTTCTGGTCTTGGTTCTGGTTCTGGTCCTGGTTCTGGTCTTGGTTCTGGTTCTGGTTCTGGTCCTGGTTCTGGTCTTGGTTCTGGTCCTGGTTGTGGTTCTGGTCTTGGTTCTGGTTCTGGTTCTGGTCTTGGTTCTGGTCTTGGTTTTGTTTCTGGTCCTGGTTCTGGTTCTGGTCTTGGTTCTGGTTCTGGTCCTGGTTCTGGTCTTGGTTCTGGTTCTGGTTCTGGTCCTGGTTCTGTTTCTGGTCCTGGTTCTGGTCTTGGTTCTGGTTCTGGTACTGTTTCTGGTCTTGGTTCTGGTTCTGGTCTTGGTTCTGGTTCTGGTTCTGGTTCTGGTCTTGGTTCTGGTTCTGGTCTTGGTTCTGGTCCTGGTTCTGGTCTTGGTTCTGGTTCTGGTCTTGGTTCTGGTTCTGGTCCTCGTTCTGGTCTTGGTTCTGGTTCTGGTCCTGATTCTGGTCCTGGTTCTGGTCTTGGTCCTGATTCTGGTCCTGGTTCTGGTCTTGGTTCTGGTTCTGGTGCTGGTTCTGGTTCTGGTTCTGGTTCTGGTCCTGGTTCTGGTCTTGGTTATGGTTCTGGTCCTGGTTCTGGTTTGGTCCTGGTTCTGGTTCTGGTCTTGGTTCTGGTTCTGGTCCTGGTTCTGGTCTTGGTTCTGGTTCTGGTCCTGATTCTGGTCCTGGTTCTGGTCTTGGTTCTGGTTTGGGTCCTGATTCTGGTCCTGATTCTGGTCCTGGTTCTGGTCTTGGTTCTGGTTCTGGTTCTGGTCCTGGTTCTGGTCTTGGTTCTGGTCTTGGTCCTGATTCTGGTCCTGGTTCTGGTCTTGGTCCTGATTCTGGTCCTGGTTCTTGTCTTGGTCCTGATTCTGGTCCTGGTTCTGGTCTTGGTTCTGGTTCTGGTTCTGGTGCTGGTTCTGGTCCTGGTTCTGGTCTTGGTCCTGGTTCTGGTCCTGGTTCTGGTTCTGGTCTTGGTTCTGGTTCTGGTCCTCGTTCTGGTCTTGGTTCTGGTTCTGGTCCTGATTCTGGTCCTGGTTCTGGTCCTGGTTCTGGTCTTGGTCCTGATTCTGGTCCTGGTTCTGGTCTTGGTTCTGGTTCTGGTTCTGGTCCTGGTTCTGGTCTTGGTTATGGTTCTGGTCCTGGTTCTGGTTCTGGTCCTGGTTCTGGTTCTGGTCTTGGTTCTGGTTCTGGTCCTGGTTCTGGTCTTGGTTCTGGTTCTGGTCCTGATTCTGGTCCTGATTCTGGTCCTGGTTCTGGTCTTGGTTCTGGTTCTGGTTCTGGTTCTGGTTCTGGTCCTGGTTCTGGTCTTGGTTCTGGTCTTGGTCCTGATTCTGGTCCTGGTTCTTGTCTTGGTCCTGATTCTGGTCCTGGTTCTGGTTCTGGTCTTGGTTCTGGTTCTGTTGCTGGTTCTGGTTCTGGTCCTGGTCCTGGTTCTGGTTCTGGTCTTGGTCCTGATTCTGGTCCTGGTTCTGGTCTTGGTTCTGGTTCTGGTTCTGGTCTTGGTCCTGATTCTGGTCCTGGTTCTGGTCTTGGTTCTGGTTCTGTTGCTGGTTCTGGTTCTGGTCCTGGTCCTGGTTCTGGTTCTGGTCCGTGGTCTGGTTCTGGTCTTGGTTCTGGTTCTGGTCTTGGTTGTGGTTCTGGTCCAGGTTCTGGTCTTGGTCCTGATTCTGGTTCTGGTCTTGGTTCTGGTTCTGGTTCTGGTCCTGGTTCTGGTCTTGGTCCTGATTCTGGTTCTGGTCTTGGTTCTGGTTCTGGTCCTGGTTCTGGTCTTGGTTCTGGTTCTGGTTCTGGTCCTGGTTCTGGTTCTGGTTCTGGTCCTGGTCTTGGTTCTGGTTCTGGTTCTGGTCCTGGTCTTGGTCCTGGTTCTGGTCTTGGTTCTGGTTCTGGTCTTGGTTCTGGTCCTGGTTGTGGTTCTGGTCTTGGTTCTGGTCCTGGTTGTGGTTCTGGTCTTGGTTCTGTTTCTGGTCCTGGTTCTGGTTCTGGTTCTGGTCTTGGTTCTGGTTCTGGTCCTGGTTCTGGTTCTGGTCTTGGTTCTGGTTCTGGTCTTGGTTCTGGTTCTGGTTCTGGTCTTGGTTCTGGCTCTGGTCCTTTTCTGGTCCTGGTTCTGGTCTTGGTTCTGGTTCTGGTCCTGGTTCTGGTCTTGGTTCTGGTTCTGTTTCTGGTCCTGGTTCTGGTTCTGGTTCTGGTCCTGGTTCTGGTCTTGGTTCTGGTCCTGGTTGTGGTTCTGGTCTTGGTTCTGGTTCTGGTTCTGGTCTTGGTTCTGGTCTTGGTTTTGTTTCTGGTCCTGGTTCTGGTTCTGGTCTTGGATCTGGTTCTGGTCCTGGTTCTGGACTTGGTTTTGGTTATGGTCCTGGTTCTGGTCCTGGTTCTGGTTCTGGTCTTGGTTCTGGTTCTGGTCCTGGTTCTGGTCTTGGTTCTGGTTCTGGTCCTGGTTCTGTTTCTGGTCCTGGTTCTGGTTCTGGTCTTGGTTCTGGTTCTGGTTCTGGTCTTGGTTCTGGTTCTGGTCTTGGTTCTGTTTCTGGTCCTGGTTCTGGTTCTGGTCTTGGTTCTGGTTCTGGTCCTGGTTCTGGTTCTGTTTCTGGTCTTGGTTCTGGTTCTGGTCTTGGTTCTGGTTCTGGTTCTGGTCTTGGTTCTGGCTCTGGTCCTTTTCTGGTCCTGGTTCTGGTCTTGGTTCTGGTTCTGGTCCTGGTTCTGGTCTTGGTTCTGGTTCTGTTTCTGGTCCTGGTTCTGGTTCTGGTTCTGGTCCTGGTTCTGGTCTTGGTTCTGGTCCTGGTTGTGGTTCTGGTCTTGGTTCTGGTTCTGGTTCTGGTCTTGGTTCTGGTCTTGGTTTTGTTTCTGGTCCTGGTTCTGGTTCTGGTCTTGGATCTGGTTCTGGTCCTGGTTCTGGACTTGGTTTTGGTTATGGTTCTGGTTCTGGTCCTGGTTCTGGTTCTGGT